TGCGGGGTCTCCAAGCTGACGGAGGAGGCTCACGAGGCCGGCCATGGCGGCCTCGGACAGCTTGGTGTGGCTGGACTCGTTGCCGTCGGTGGCGAACTTGGGCCTTGACAGTAGCGTCAGAAGCTGGGCGATGCTCAAATCAAAGGACATACAACGGCGCGTACAACCAAATGGAATCATGTGCACGTCGCTCTTGACCTTCAATCAAGCTGTGCATGAACACGCAATGTGCTGTTACCGGCCGATTCATTTGGTGGACACAACTACAGGTTGACAGGCTGGTCAACGAGACAACGACTCGTCAGAGCACGTGTACACTCTAATCTTTCTTAATTGTAGCACCTACTCAGCCGTTTGAACGGATCGAACAGTGAAGGTACACTTCGAAGCTATTGCATGAAATCTTTCTTAACCACTTGTACTTATACATATAGTGATTAACCAACATTCATTGAGCGGAAAATGGACAGTTCCAACATGCAGGACGGAGCTATGCCGAACCACAAGCATAGCTTTTTGTTTGACAGCAACAAAGCATAACTTCTTAATACAACTCCTTCCACCAAATTAGTGAAAACAGAGAGAGAGAGAGATATTGAGAGAGAGAGAGAGAGGTCAATTACATACATGATTCATCTTCCCTCTCGCAAAATGGTCTCATCCGACATAGTGGCGACACTCATTGCGGGCTGAGAACATGGCATGTTGTGTGAATCAAATCCTTCATTTTGCATTTGGGCCATCATTATATAGCTTATGTAGGCCGGAGATAAATCAGGAGGCGATTGACCATGGTCGAGGTACTGCATGACCTTTCGCATGATAGGCCGTGCATTGGGTGACGGGTACGTGCATAGCAAACCCAATTTGAGCACGATGGTTACCTCCTCCGTGTTGAATTCCCTTCCGAGTCGTGGATCCACCGTGTCGAGCATTGAGCCGTCATGGTGGTGCTCAAGCACCCACTCGACCAACAACACCCGGTTGTTTTGCTCATCGATGAAGATTGGCTTGCGTCCACATGTGACCTCTAGGAGAAACACACCAAACGCGTACACATCAGAGAAGGGTGTTGGCCTCCCCGCGCGCGAGAGCTCAGGTGCAAGATATCCCATAGTGCCAGCCACATGGGTGGTTTCAGCGGTGGTTTCGTGGTCGTATATCCTTGCAAGACCAAAATCGCCCAACCTTCCATTCATCTTACTATCCAAGAGCACATTGCTTGCCTTTATATCTCTGTGGATGACGACCTGCTCCCAATCCTCATGGAGATATAACAAACTTGATGCCACACCTTTGACTATCGAATACCTCCGGGACCAGCATAGAGTTGGGCCATTTCTTGTGTGTAGGTACTTGTCAAGACTACCATTTTCCATGTAGTCATATACCAGTAGAAGCTCCCCCTTACGCCTGCAATAGCCCAACAATTGTGTGATATTTCGGTGCCGAAGACGACCAATGCTCACCACCTCGGCGATGAACTCCTTAACCCCTTGCCTTGAATCGTGTGACATTCTCTTCACTGCGACCTCCATGCCAGGCTTACGAAGTACACCCTTATATACACTTCCGAAACCTCCCCTCCCAAGTAGGTTCTTGTCACTGAACCCCTCGGTTGCATGAAACAAGTCCTTATAACAGAATCGATTTGAGCCAAACGGGACCTCCCAGTCTTCATGCACCGCAGAGTACGTGAGACGTCTTACAAACAGTGGCGAAGCCACGTTTTGGTTGTGTGGTCACTTGACTACACATGAATTTCACAGGTCAAGTACTCCCATGTATGGGTACTGAGCTGCTGAATAAACAATTTCTAAAAATGCCTAAACAGGCCAACTCGTCATCTGTGTTGGGTAACTTTTGGCTGGAAAAAAAAGCAAATTTGCAATGGAAGTCCTAATAACTATAGAAATAGCATTAGATATTGGTCTAAATATATGAAATTTTGAGGAAATACACACTTATGTGGGATACTTGAGGACATGCAATAGTACCGAAGTCTATTCTCCATTTGTACCAGTCTCTTGCTTCTTTTCGACTCCGCAATCGCCAAGAGTTAAATCTAAAAATCATCAGCTCTTATATAAATCATGTATTTTCTTTCTCAAGATGTTGAGCCTCTAGTTACATCTGTATTCGTTTAATCTATTCCATGAGCATTGTCTCCGAAGGTCAGATGTTCTACGCTTGCCCATCTACTCTAGTTGTCTTGTTCGAACATTTTTTCACATTCAGTTTTATTGTGTCTTTTTTTAATTCAAACGCCATTTCATATATCTCAAATCTATGTATCAGCAAAAAAAAACATGAACATGGTCAAAGATAATAAGCTATGACGATAGTACTTGCAAATGTATACTTTTCTCAAAAATACATTTATAATTAAAATATTAAAATAGCTCAAAGATAATGCATTGAAAGAAACACTGATAATAAATTTGAAATACTAACTATCTTTAAAAAGGAATTACAATCCTTTGTGTTCCTATTTAATTTGTCTACAAAAATTCGCTAGTACAAAACCTGACATCACAAGGTTTTGATCCTGGCACCGCCACTGCTTACAAATATGTAGATTCCGAGGCCTATGGCGGAAACCACCGTCGCCGACGTTACGGCCAGCACTATCTCCAGAATCTTGGAATTGGACTTTGGCTTGGGCCAGGCTAACGGCGGCAAGGCCGGCAGCGCTGAGATGTTCAGCGCAGGGGCTGGCCTATCCAGCGCAAAGCTCCAGCCGAAGACGAAGTGTCCTGTGGCGAGTGCGCCCGTTGCCGCCGAGAAGCCAATGCACGCCGTGCTCAGCACCACACCCGAGAGGTCGACGGTGGTCTGCAGAAGAGGGTACTTGGGTCTGGCCACGCCCAAGGGAGCCATGGTCACGTTGACCTGTGTGGCCCGGCCGTCGTAGTCCACCCACACCTGCATGGCCTTCCCACTGGTCAGGCTTAGGTTATTGAAATTTGGGCCGTACCCATTATATCCGAAGTCATCGAGGTACCCGGGCACTGCGGATACGACCGACACCAAGCTATCGACGTCGACTCCGACGTGGTTGTTGTTGATGTCGCGGAAGTCGTCGTTGAAGAGCGTATCGAATTCCACGGCAAAGATGTGCTCGCTCCGGTTACCTCCATCGGTGTGGTTGAGGAGGCCCAAGAACTGGCCTGGCATCCGCAGTGGAGAGCGCCTCATTGGATTCGGAAACGAAGAAGGCCATGCCGGGGCTGCTTAGGTTGGCGGACTGCCCGTAGATGGCGAAGACGAAAGTAGTGGAGAAGGACCGTGCGGCACCGGTGGCGTTCGCCTCGACGCGGAACGGCAGCGGGGACGGGTGGAAGGCCTAGCCTTTTGCCTGAGTGGTGCCGTTGGTCAGCATGAGGAGGCCATCCGGTGTGAAGGCGGCGCCATCGAGCGTCAGGTTCGCGCCTGTGAAGCCGTTGTAGGCGAACTCCCGACCGTCATCGGTGCCGCCACCGCCGGTGGCCGCGAGGCAGCGACCAGTAGCCATGAGTAGCAAGAGGAGCAGAGCGACGAGGTGGCAAGTCTCGAGAGGCATGGCTCTCCTATCACCAGCGGCGCACAAAGGCCGCACGCCGGTCTCTTTGTCCTTGGCCATGGTGCTTGGGATTTCTGAACTGTAGACAGCCAAGAGGACAACTTTTATCTCCTTATGAGTGCTTCCGAGGTGTGGTTATATTGGAACCCTTGTGGTTGAATGCAACACTTTTCAATTTGAGACGCGAGTGAACCGGCCAGGCAAGGCAACCTCAAGTCTCAAGTCGTCGTTCTAGACTTCTAGTACGTGCGTGCTACCTACGCTTCAGGCCAATGCCCGGTGACAAACTGACAATCCACTCACTTAATGCTTGGTTGGATCTAGTCATTTTGTGATGTCGGTGTTATTCGGCACCGTGCTAGACGGGGAAAATATGGTCATCACTTGTCAGATCGTCCAATTAATGGCGCGTTAGGCATCCCAGCGTTTTCTACATGCGTGTCACCCAAGTACCATACCATCGCTGTCAATGTCGTGTGGGTTGACACAGTAGGGGTAGATCTGGCGCCGCGACCCGACTGGGGTGACTTGCGATGGAGGGAGTGAAGGGGAGTAGGAGCAGGAGGGGTAGACACGGCGAGTGCGATCGGCGGCGATCGAGGGCGCCAGGGGCGATTGGCGACGATCGAGGGCGCCGGAGGCGATCGGCGGCGATCGAGGGCGCCCGAGGTTAGGGCTCGAGAGGAGGAGAGAGGACGAACCGCTCGAACCGAAATTCAAAAGAGTACGCAAGATGATGGGACATCTATAATGAAGTGCTTTATTAATGCAATTAATTTAATCGAAAAATTTAGGATGATAATACCCCTGGACCAAATTGGGCCGATTAAAGGTAAAAAAAATTAGGTCGAAAATACCCTTAAGCTTAAAAAGGCCCAATTATTCTGATCCGTTAGATCGGTCATATAATACATGTGCTCTGGTGTATTATAATGCACCTTAAAATCTCCCATTGCAATAACAGACCCTTTATGTACCTTGAGTGATAGCCATTGAAATCACAGTTCACGGGTGATATCAGCATGAAGTTAAGGCTGTAGGTTTTTTTTTTTTTTTTGCTTACACTACGTAGCTGATAATCCCGGAAGGATGTTGTCGACACTTGCGCTTTCTATATAAAGCGGGGCCTGAAGGCCGATTCTCCGGGAAAAAAATAGTCATTACATCGGAGGAATAGGCAGCAACGACAGTACATGTAAATGGTACTGTTCACTGTCCGGCACAGAAGCATCACAACTCAATAGCGGACTGGTATCCAACATATGCAGATTAGTCCCTTTTGGGTTTTGATCACTTATGCCGCCGCTTGCTTCTTCATCGACGCTAGCAGGTGGAAGGTTATTCACAAGGATCGTCACATTGCTCCGAGGTCGCCTCTTGTTAAGTCTCCTCGGCGCTTTTGCTGTAAAATGCAACTTCATCTGGATCTGGCATGTCTTCAGAATTCACTAGTTCGTTGTGACGAATGTGCTGATTCATTCTCAAGCAGCACCTTCTTAGCCATGTTCCGGAAGGATTCCGTTAAAGGATCACTATGCTTCCTGACAGAGAGCTTCCTCGGCGAGCTTTCGACCCTTGAGGCGATGAAGTTGATAAGGGCGCTACGAGCATTTGTCGCAATGTTGGCATTGTCATCGGCCTTGTTTGCGCCATGGCTGGCAAATCCATCAGCATTGGTTTCTTGTATGATGTCAGACGCATGAGTAGAAGCTGCATCCGGAGAGAGCCATGCCCCGAACGAACTGGTCCTCTGGACGAGCTCACTGCTCCTCTCCTTGTTCACTGGTACCGAAGGGCATGGCACTTTGGTATTTGATGTTTCAGGCGAATCCGATGGAGACAAAACGTGTGCTTCGGATGCTTCATCTTCTGGCGAATCCTGATTGTGAGAGCTGTGCATTTGACGCCTGATTCTTCCGATGATGTGTCGATATTTCAGTTGCCGGAGCATATCGAGCAAGGCATCTGTTTTGAATCTGCAGGAGGTGCAAATTGGACGTTAATTTGGATGCAAAAGATTGAAAGCTGAGACCGGAAGATGGAAACGGGAGAAATGAGCTTCAGAAATAAATAAAAAGTTTTACTTGGAGCATTTGTGTGAACTCTGAAGCTTTGGTTTGGTTTCCTGCAAGAAAAGCTCATGCTTGGCAGACTGGGCTCTGAAGAAGGACGGGTCCGTGTATCGCTTCAGGCACGCCCCCTCGCCGCCGGCATCATACCTGCAACCGAATCAAAGTTTTTGAGGCACCTGCTGAGGTTTTCCTACTGTCTCAATTTTGTACTAATTTTAGTACAAAGTTATACTAAGAGTGAGACGTTTATTTTGGGACGGAGGGAGTACTTGTCAAGCATGGACAGCTGCGGAGGCCCGCGGCATCGCCGGATGTGCTCCGCGATGGAACGAGGCTTCGTTCCTCCCACCACAATCACGCCGTGATTCACCGGCCTGGCACTTGCGCGGCGCCGATCCACGCCGTGGCCTGCGACACGACACAAGCCTTCTGACCGAATGGCTGGCGAGAAGGCTGAATAGCTGCAGGCAACGGCGACGTCCTGCTGCTGCAGGAAGCAGGGCCGTGCACTCCGACGACGGCGGAGCCCCTCCTCGACGAGCGTCAGCTCCGCCTCGAGCCGCCGCGCCCCCAGCGTGAGGCCGCGCGCCCGTGCGGACACCGCCGTGGCCTGGTGGTGCAGGCCGTCGAACACCTCCACGGCAAGCCTGAAGATCACGGGGAAGCTGAAGCTGAACTAGTGCAGTTGCAGACATGCAGCAGGGCGGAGGGACAGGAGCAACGTACTGTGCGAGGTCCCCGAGCTGGCGGAGGAGGCCCACGAAGCCGGCCATGGCGGCGCCCTCATCCTCGAGGACGACAGCTTCGGGGAGCTCGTCGGCGTTGGTGGTGAGCTTGGGCCTTGACAGTGTTGGCGTCAGAAGCTGAGCACTCTGCTCCATGCGCGCATGCATGCAGGTGCTACTCGATGGATGCTTATTATTCCTTCCTAAGTCCAAATGGCTTCATTAATTTGGAGTCGGTTGATGGCTTCATTAATTTGAAGTCGGGCTTTATGCCTTTCATCTATAAAAGTCCAAATGGCTCGTGACAAGCGACTGACATGTAGCCATTACCATGGTGGAGCACGGCACGGGCGGTCCCCGAGCAGAGAGTAGGAGGAGGTACCACGCCATGTGAGTACGTACGGAATACAGCTTTCTACCGCACTCGCGTTGCGGCTACTCAACGTTGTAGTACATTCATTGGCGCTACAACAACTACGTACTATGCATTTACAAGCTACGTAAAGTCGTTAGGTTCTTACCGTATAAAAGGTTCTCCATTTATACCATGCCGCCGGACAAAATATCATCTAGGCCAAGCCAGTGCATAGTTATTTCAAATGTGTGAACCTTTTAAAATAAAAAATAATGAATTTTTCCTATTTTTTTAATCCTTTTCACTTTCTCTAGCTTATTTTTCCAACTTTTTTGGTGGACTTTTTTGGAAAATTTTCAACATGGATATTTTTTCCAGCATTGATGAACTTATTTCAAATCCACGAACGCTTGGGCCGGCCAAATAGGTGCCTCACCGGAGTGATGAGATCACCCATCAGGGTGGTAGAAATTGAAATTTCCGTTTTTACCATGTGTTTTTGATTTTGGTTAGCAAACCTAAAACCCGAAAATGGCAACCCACTACAATAAATCGATATTTCGTTAACCAACTGATTCGGTTTGGATTTCAGTTTATAATGAAAATCTTTTTGTAGCGCACACGTAAAAGCTACGACACAACTACTAGCGCTTCGCTTGTGTCGTCCTCTAATATCCATGACCACCTTTATCCTCTGAGCATACCTACGCGTTGTGGTAGTAAACAACTAAGACGGTTGCCGCTGCATGCTCTGCTTGCCCACAAAAGTACTAGTAGTTGCCCTTGGGTTTTGCAATTAGGTGGACAATGAAGCCTAGCAATAGCTTAGCTGGTTTAGCTCTCATGTGGGAAACAAAGCATGCATTGGGCCCTTCGTATCCTGCATGGTTGGACACGTGCGCGCGATTGAGCCTTTGGTGTTGGGTGACACGCGTGAGGGAGCCTCGTACTGGATGCCTGGATTTCTGTTTTTTCTTTCAATTATACGGTTTAATACTGAACCTGATCTGAATTCGGTTATTAAAAAGAAAAAAACAATGTTTGGACATTTTTGAAATGAACCCAACTTCTGCAAGCAGGTGGGGATGCCCATGATATGCATCCATGCCAGGTTTGAACGATTTTTGACACCGTATGCAAGTCGCGAGACCTCCGACCATTTATCAGTAGTTTTTGACAGAGAAAACTCCAGAAAAGGCAAAACTTGTCGAAACCCAGACAACTTGAACTGGTGCCTTGAATTGGTCATAAAACGCCATGAAAAAAATTGGGCCAACTAAAGGATGTTGAGAAACAACATGCTCTCGAACGGACCTTTATGGCATACCCGGACACTCTCCGTTGAACAGGTCTATTTGGACATTCTTGAAATGACCCCAAATTTCCAAGCAGGTGGGCATGCCCAAGGTAGGCATCTATGCCAGGTTTGAACAATTTTCGACATAGTATGCAAGTTGTGACATGTCCAGTCATTTATCGATCTTTTTTTTACCAAGAAAACACCAGAAAATGTAAAACTTTTGGAAAACCCAAGAAACTTGGCATGGTACCTTGAATTGGTCATACAAGCCATGAAGAAAATTGGGGCCATTTCCATTTCCATTTGTGTTTTTTCGGGACATTCTTGTAACGATCCCAACTTTTGCTAGCAGGTGGGCATGCCCATGGGTTGCATCCATGCTAGGTTCGAAGGGAAAAATATTTAAATTCATAATAAAAATAGTTACTTAAAACTATCATATTGGTCCTGAGTTGGTCTTGAAATGACTATATTACCCTTTATACGTTTTAAAAGGGGGGTTGTACCGAAGCGGGTCTCTGCAAAGATTACGGCCATAGTAAATTCTTCTGACCGAAAGTAGGAGTAGCATTACAATCGAATTCCTCAAGCCAGCAATACAACAAACATTAACTACCAAGATCAGGTTGCTAGTGTCCTCGGTACCCAGTCACGAACTGAAGATCACGAGAACAACCAAAGTTATCCTCCAAGGGTTAGTTCGAAACCCAATCGAATCATGTGCATGTACGCTCTTGACCTTCAATTAAGCCGTTCATGAACACACAATATGTTATTACCCGCCGATTCATTCAGTGGACAAAATATTAGGTTGCCGGGCTGATAAAGGACTCGTCAGGGTACCTCTACACTCCAACGTTCGAAGCTATGACCCCCGCAAAAAAAAAAATCCATATAATGGAAAACAGATAGTCCCAACACGCATCACGAAGCAGTGCCGGATAACTGAGTAAAACTTCTTAAAAATATCAAATTAGCAAAAGCGAGAGAGAGAGAGAGGGGGGGGGGGGTCAATTACATACATGCCTCATCTTCCCTCTTGCAAAATTGTCACTGAAGACTCACCCGACACGGTGGCAACACTCCTTGCCGGCTGAGAACATGGCATGTTGTGTGAATCAAACCCTTCATTTTGCATTTGGGCCATCGTGATGTAGCTTATGTAGGCCGGTGATAAATCAGGAGGCGATTGGTCATGGTCAAGATACTGCATGACCTTTCGCATGACAGGCCGCGCGTTGGGCGATGGGTATGTGCATAGCAAGCCCAATTTGAGCACGATGGTTACCTCCTTCATGTTGAATTCCCCTCCGAGTCGTGGATCCACTGTGTCGAGCATTGAGCTGTTGTGGTGGTGCTCAAGCAGCCACTCGACCAACAATACCCGGTTGTTTTGCTCATTGATGAAGATTGGCCTTTGTCCACATGTGACCTCTAGGAGAAACATGCCAAATGCATATACATCAGAGAAAGGTGTTGGCCTCCCGGCACGCAAGAGTTCTGGCGCAAGATATCCCATGGTGCCAACCACATGGGTGGTTTGAGCAGCAGTTTCGTGGTCATATATCCTTGCAAGACCAAAATCACCCAACCGCCCATTCATCTTGCTGTCCAAGAGCACATTACTTGCCTTTATATCTCGGTGGATGATGACCTGCTCCCATTCCTCATGTAGATACAACAAACTTGATGCCACACCTTTGATGATTGAGTACCTCTCGGACCAGCATAGAGTTGGGCCATTTCTTGTGTGTAGGTACTTGTCAAGACTACCATTTTTCATGTAGTCATAAATCAGGAGAAGTTCACCTTTACGCCTGCAGTAGCCCAATAATTGTGCGATATTTCGGTGTCGAAGACGACCAATGCTAACCACCTCGGCAATGAACTCCTTTACCCCTTGCCTTGAATCGTGTGACATTCTCTTCACGGCGACCTCTATATCAGGCTTGTGAATCACGCCCTTATAAACACTCCCGAAACCTCCCCTCCCGAGCAGGTTCTTCTCATTGAACCCCTCTGTCGCGTGAAACAAGACTTCATAAGAGAATCTCTTGGGGCCTAACGAAACCTCCCAGTCCTCTTGCACCTCGAAGCAATTGAGACGCCATCTTACAGTGACGCAGATTCCGATGCCAACTGAAACCAGCGTCAACGACGCTAAGGCCAGCACGAGCTTCAGCGACATGGAAATGGACGGTGAGTTGGACCAGTTGGTCTTCGTCCAGGCTGATGGCAAGGCCGGCAGCACCGAGATGTCAAGAACCGGGGCCGGCCCATCCAGCCCGAAGCTCCAGCCGAGGATGAAGTGTCCGGAGGTGATATTGCGCATCACCGACGAGAAGCCGACGTATGCCGTGCTCTACACCACGCCAGAGAGGTCGATGGTGGTCTGCAGCATGGGCCTCTTGGGCCTGACCACACCCAACGGAGCCATGGTCATACTGATCACCATTGCCTTGCTGTTGTAGTCCACCCACACTTGAATAGCTTTCCAGCTTATCACAGATAGGTTTAGTAGCCGCCCGGTGCCGTCGTCGTAGTACCCGGTGTTGGCGGAATTGAGGGACACCAGACTATCACCGTCGACGCAGACGTACTTGTTCTTGATGTCATTGAACTGGGCATTATAGAGCGTGTCGAACTCCATGGCAAAGATGTTGGCGCTCTGGTTGCCATTGCTGAGGCCCAAGGGCTGGCCTGACAACGCAGTGGAGAGCACCTCCGAGGACGAAGAGATGAAAAAGGCCAGGCCGCGGACGCTAAGGTCGGCGTGCTGGCCGTGGCCGAAGATGGCTAAGACGAAGGTGGTCGAGAAGGACCGCACAGGGCCGGTGCCGTTTGACCCGGAGCCGAACAGCATCAAGGGCGGGTGGAAGGCATGGCCCTTCATCTTTCTGGTGGCACCGTTGGTCAGCATGAGCAGGCCGTTCGGCATGACCATGCTCGCGCCGCCGAGCGTCAGGTTCGCACCCGCGAAGCCGTTGAGAGCGAACTGCCGACCGTCATCGCTGCCGCCGCTGCCGGTGGCCGCGAGGCAGCAGTGACCGGCTGCCATGAGGAGCATGACGAGCGGAGCGATCAAGAGGTAAGGTTTGAGAAGCATGGCTCTCGTATCCTTTTTCTTTCTTCTTTTTTTTTTTTTTTGCGAAAAATGGCTCTCGTATCCTTGGCTAAAGGTACTTGGGGTGATGAGAATTCTGGTAGCCCTATGGACTGAAATGGGAATGCATATGGATGGTGTCTATAAAATGTGCTCTCCGCCCAGCTGTCTAAGAGTGAATGCACACTGTCTAGACACCACATGTGGTTGAATATGATCCTTTTCTAGGAGACGTGAGTCGACCGGCCAGGCCGGACAACCACAAGTCTCAAGTCGTTGTTCTTCAGTCTTGAGGTACATGCATGACACAGTAGATCAGTGGCTATTTCATCAAGCTGCGTGTAACGCGTGCATGATAGACCTTTTTTGTGATGTCAATGTTAGGCGCCGTGCTCGACAGGATATATATGGCCATCAAATCGTCCAATTAATGGTGCGTCTCGCCGTCTCGCATGGTAGCGTATTCTACTAGCTGTCACTTTGGTTTTCATCCGTGTATGTGAGCCTGTTTTACGATGAACAAACAGAAATTCAGAATCAATTTATTTCGCTCAAGTTGGAAACGCGCGCAGCTGAACTTGGTGCTTTTCAGGGTCTCGTACGGGTACGGCCCGTAGATGGCGAAGACCAAACTAGTGGAGAAGAACCGCACGGCGCCGGTGCCGTTCGTCTCGGTGCGGAACAGCAGAGGAGACGGGTGGAAAGCCTGGCCTTTCATCAGGCTGGTACCTTTGGTGAGCACGAGGAGGCCGTTCGACGTGACGACCGCGCCTTGGAGCGTCACGGTCGCTCCCGTGAAGCTGTTGTGGGTGTTAGAGATACAATAGGCAAATCAACTCGACGAAGAACGAAAACAAACAAGGGACATAAGATTTAACGTGAAAAACCCCTTCAACACGAAGGAAAAAAAACCACGGACACCAGCCAGCCAAACTTACTATATCGGGAGAGGTTATAAATACCGGGGATTTACAACTGGTCGATACTGATCCTAGGTGTATATGACACAAGTGATCCTAGGTCAATACTGATCCGTACCAAGCCTACCGGCGACGGGCCTCGCTCCGCTCGCTCATCAGAAGTTAGCCTTTCTTTTTATACTTGTATTTGGAGCATAACATAACAGTGGGCGAACTGTTGACCTTCACCGCTGTCTTTGCTGCCGGTGGCGGCGAGGCTGACAGCCATCAGAAGGAGCAGTGTGCCCAACTGGCAACGAAAATATGTTTTAGAATAGCTGCACCCAGGCCCGTCTATCCTAGCCATCCATTTTTTGCATCGCGATTTGTGCAAGCACATTTTCCCTTTTGGTTTCTCTCCCGTAGAACATGTTTTAAACTTCAAACTTCCACAGCACAACAAAGATTTCTATCTAGAATCTGGGATAAAACTTTCAGATTTTTTCGTCCAATATAAACATACGAATTAAGATTTTTTTGGTTAAAAAATCTTATCTTTAAAATTTATGTCGGACCAAAAAATATGAAAGTTTTATCTCACGTTCTAGTTGGGAAGCTTTATTGTGCTGCAAAGTTTTAGATTCAAGACATGTTCTATATGAGAGAAACAAAAAAGAAAATTTTACATGTAAAATTTTAATTGTGTTGCACAAATCTTAAAGCAATAATGAAGAGCTAAGATAAATAGGCCTGGGTGCAGGTGCTCAAAAAATCTGCGTCCCAACTGGCAAGACTTGAGAAGCATGGCTCTTGTATAACCAGTGTGGCGTGAAGGACCGCAGGCTGGTCTCTGGCTAACGGCTGATGAAATCGAAACGCATGGATGGGGTCCAGAAATTGTGCTCTCTGCTCTGTGTAAGCAAAATTTCTGTAAGTGCGGAAAATTTGCAATACAAATAATTCAACGAAACATGCAAGAGATTTTCTATTTATAGTTCCCTTGCGGACGCCTGGAAACAGTCGCGTCCCATGAAAACGACGGACGCAACACTTCGTTTGTGTACGTGTGTGAAGCGCTGTGTCTCGCCACGAACGGCTCTCGCAAGCAAGCGTTACGGGCACGTTTCCTTAAGCCAAACGTTGCGTCTGTCCGCACTGCACGCATGCATGCATCAACCGTCGGCTGGCTGCCCGTGCATTAACGCACATGCACTGACACAACGATCCATCCAATCACTTCTCATTGGCGAGCCATCTCTGCATGCATGAGCAGTAGTACACGTCCATGCACTAGGAACGTGACTTGGCCACACACACACACACACACACACACACACACATTTGCATGCAAAGCACCGTGTACATAACCAGCATGTATATACACACCACATAGTTTGCTTTGACATATACCTCAATTGTGAAGATTACCAGAGGGAGAAAAGAGGGAGTTAAAACCCAGATTTTAATCTATCATTTCTAGCAACCATCATACTAGAACTCTTAATTAAAATCTCACTATAATTTACATTGGCCACATAAAATATTCTTACACTCTGCTGTCTTATGAAGTCTTGAGACTACAGTGAAGTATCAAGTCGTCGTTCTTGAGACGCGTGAGTAGACTGCAGTGTGAAGTATCAAGTTGTGGTCCTTGCGGGGCAACCTGCCGTTATTCTTGACCACTTGTCGAGCCGAGTGAGTGCGTGTAACGCGTACATGACCACTTGTGACGACCGCGCTCGAGGGAAAAATTCTGGTCATTAGATCGTCAAATTATTGGTGCCTCTCATGCTAGCGTTTTCTACCTGGCTGTCACTCAAGGTATCAATCATCACTATCATTTTCTCGTTCACTCATATATGTGAGCCTGATTTTACGATGAACAATCAGAAATTCATGACTGATTTGTTTCGCTCAAGTCGGAAACGTAGCTGAACTTGGTGTTGTTACCTGACGAGTGTGACCAGCCCTGTGCAAAATGGATACAATTCTGTCAGAATAATCCTAATATGCCTTGTTACATTTGTAGCAAGAGAATGTTCAGACATTTTTTTTAGCTGTTCGGATCCACAAACAACCACATTTTCCTTCTCCTCTTGATTCTGGAACAGGTTCTTTCCTTAGTGTTTCTCGGTGACTTTTTTCTTCAGGCTCCTTTTATCAGCTCTCCAGTAGCATCTCCATTGGTGACATCAGCATGAACATCCTCTCCTAAATTCTTTCAGCTTGGAATCACAAGTCATGGATAGTAGCTCTCTCATCTTCTTTATCAAAAAAGAAGAGGCTAAACTTACCCATGACTTGTGATTCCAAGCATTTAAATGGCAACGATCCAATTCCTCCAGGCAACAACACAACAAATGCTACATGTTCAAAAAAGCATTCCACCGGACAAAGATCAGGTAGGCCCAAACCCAGTGCCCTGAGCCTCGATCACGACAACAATCTAGTCATCCTCTCACTGTTAGTTCACATCGCGATCCAGTTGAAGCATGCATATGTACATGCACACTCTTTAACTTCAATCAATCTATTCCAACGCAATCTGTTGTTATCGATTCATTTGGTGGACATAGTAACATGTCATCAAGCTGAGCAATGACTTGTCTCAGTACTTGTACACTCCAACCTTCAAACCTGTGCATGAAATCTTTCTTAACGACTTGTACTTATGCATACATTGATTGGTCAACATACCACTCATTGCATGCTGAGAACACGGGATGTTGTGTGAATTAAACCCTTTATTTTGCATTTGTGCCATCATGATGTAGCTTATGTAGGTCGGTGATAAATCAGGAGGCGGTTGACTATGGTCGAGGTATTGCATGACCTTTCGCATGATAGGTCGTGCGTTGGGCGATGGGTACGTGCATAGCAAACTCAGTTTGAGCACAATGGTTACCTTATCCGTGTTGAATTCCCCTTCGAGTCGTGGATCTACTGTGTCAAGGATAGAACCATTGTGGTGGTGCTCAAGCACCCACTCGACCAACAATACTCGGTTGTTTTGCTCATTGATGAATATTGGCCTTTGTCCACACGTGACCTTTAGGAGAAACACGCCAAATGCATATACATCAGAGAGTGGTGTTGGCCTCCCGGTGCACGAGAGTTCTGGCGCAAGATATCCCATGGTGCCAGCCACATGGGTGGTTTCAGCGGTGGTTTCGTGGTCGTATATCCTTGCAAGACCAAAATCTCCCAACCTTCCATTCATCTTACCATCCAAGAGCACATTGCTTGCCTTTACATCTCTGTGGATGACGACCTGCTCCCAATCCTCATGTAGATATAACAAACTTGATGCCACATCTTTGATGATCGAAT